CTTTTTCTGAAATACTGCTGTATTGGCTGGGACTGGGGTTAGGGAGTGCACAAAAATGGCTGGGGCTGGAAGGGTTAAAGTTTAAAGTTTCTTGTCAGTGTGTTTTAAGTGTATGGTTTGTGTGTGTGTGTGTGTGTGTGTGTGTGTGTGTGTGTGTGCGCGCGCGAGCGCGTGTGTATATGTCTGTGTTGGTGCGCGTGTTTGCATGTGTATAATAACATGTGTAAGTGTGTGACTGTGTGCTGGCGAGTGCGTTTTGAGTGTAATTTGTTTGTGTTGTATGTGTTTGAGAAATGGAGAGAGACAGAGAGACTCACGCACTCACACACACACACACACACACATACACACACACACACACACACACAAACACACACACACACACACACACACACACACGGAGAGAAAGAGAAATAGATAGATAGATAGATAGATAGATAGAGAGAGAGAGAGAGAGAGAGAGAGAGAGAGAGAGAGAGAGAGAAAGAGAGAGACTGGAAGAAAGAGATAACTAAGGGCGTGGGTGATTTGCAAAGTTGAAAAAACAACAACAGAGAAAGGTAGACACAAAGAGCTCCACCAGCAAACATATTTATTCATTTATTATGTCTAGGTAGCACTTGGAGATTCCAAAGGCAGCATCACCACTCCCCCTAAAAAGCTACCCATCCCCCGTAAAAAAAAAAGAAAAAGGGCACAAAAAAAGGAAAAACAACACAAACAAAAAAGATCCACCCCACCCCCCCCACCCCCGAAAAAAGAAGAAATTTACAGCTTCTGAATCAGACTTTGGAATTGCGAATAGGTTCTCTTGCTCTTTTTTAAAAGTTGACAGTTTTTTTAATGGGCTAAACCATAATACTTGACGTGGTCTATCTTAATATAAGCCCGAATGTACTCACCATGTTTCTCTGGCGTTGTCAAGTAATCCACTTCTTTTATCCTGCCAACGATTCTCAGCGTCCACACACTGTGGTCATAAGTGAAAACTTCTCTACAATAGCAGGTGCAGATCTCCACGTGAGAAGCCAGAAGCTTCACACCAGTGCTTAAGGGCTGTGAGAGGATATTTTGTTGATGCAGCAGCTTGGAGAATCACTTGAGGGGTGATGTCAAATATCTTCTAACCTGAAGATAATATACTTTCTTGTTAGTGTTAAAAAACACAAACAGTCCTGCTGGAAATATGTAAAAAGCCGACACATTTTGTTTTTGAGGTACCGAACGTCAGACCGCATCAAAAGCTAAATCATGACGTTTCCAAATCGACAGACATTCGTTCTATCACAGTCCGAAAACATAAATTTTCTGAACATCTCACTCATCAGCATTTAAGGTAATAATTCCAAGAGCACAAACAAAGTTCACGCAGTTCACTCTGAATAGTAAAACCCACTGTGGTTCTCTATACTTTTACGAACAAACAAAAGATTCTGCACAATAGTCGTATCAAAATTTGTCGCACGTGGTAAACAGCACACCTACTCACCGAGTCGCTCACAACGTGTGTGCATGCAGCGTGCACGGAATCCGAAAACGCTTGTCAGAAAATGCCTGTACTTACTCCCCTCTCACGCGCATAACATGACCTACATTCTATTCATAACTATTGCGTTAAAGGAAACAAACTTTGCACCGCGTGCGGAAACCCGCACGGAAAAACCTCTCAATGTACTCGATTCATTGCACGGAATCTTAACAAGCCTCTGGCAACTGGCAAAGCTTTCTTTTCTCTGCGCAACGTCCAACTCGAATTTGCAACAGATATGCTTGGAAGAGGGTGCTCTCATTTAGGCAGTCTCATTCATCTCTGTCCCCCCCCCCCCGTCCTACCTACCCTTCTCCCCTCACTCCAAGTCCATTCCCGAGGGCCGAGGATTCCCCTCTCTCGTCTACTCCACTCACGTTCGCGCATTGTTGCGGTGTGGCCTGGTTGTAACCGACCCGCGCGCGCCAAACTGATCATGAGTGTCCTCTGCCTACCCCATGAGTGACACCACAGCTCGATCCTTCTACAATCAAGGCTTATACTGTTACGTAACGGCATTGGTGACCTTCACAGGTGCAGAGCCAGAGCACTCCATCTGATGTCAGCGTTTGCTAGAAAAGGCTTTTTAGCACTGCTACCTTTCTGTTGCTGCTGAGAAGGGTGTTATAGTGACAGATTTACGTCACCTGCAAAACTATGAGGTCATAATAGATCTATTATAAAAGCCCAAGATTAGATTGAGGTGTTACTAGAGAGTGAAAAAGGAAGAGGAGAGATATAGACAAAAGATGTTTGATAAGACAGGTGGAGCCAATCTCACCGGAGCGCACACCAACCACCCACTATGAAGGATGTGAGCAACAGAGACAGAAAGATATTTCAAAGATATTATATATTATGTGAGGCACCGTGGTGGAATCAGGCTCTCGCCAAAATAATCAAAGTGAAGAAACTTGCATTTTTCCGCAGGTTTGTGAATTTTTATAAATTGTTTTTTTTTTTTGGCTTAACACCGTTCATGCCCATTATAGAACAAATTTTTGTGTGGATTTTTCTTAAAAGCGTGGATTAAAGGCACAAAAATATACATTTTTAGTTACCACGGACTATTAAGCTAAGGAAATAACTAATCTTTGGCGGCCATTTTCTCACTAATTTTACCTCTAAAAACAGGTGACCCCCACCTCCTTCAATTGCAAATATCTCGACTTGTATTCAAGATAAGTGGATATTTTTTTTTCATCCAAATAAAGACAAGTGAACAAGCTTTAAGTTGATACCAATAACTCTACATGCCAATTTTAGGGCAGGTAAAGTTATTGGTATCATCTTAAAGTGTGTTTACTTGTGTTTATTTGGAAGCAAAAGTATCCATTTATCTTGAATACAAGATGGAATGAATGCTGCTGAATGGTGTGGATTAGAATAAAATGCCCGTATTTCAACTTAAAAAACCCAACAAAAAACAATTTGGCGTTCAAGTCATTTCGTGAGAGTCCCCCTATTATGAGTAGGTAAACTTAGCAAAGCTAGTTGCGCATTTGGTTATACCGTAAACTGTTAAATAGAGTTTGGGACGTCTCCAGTCTCTAGTGTGCTGAGAGTCCAAACTCAGTCTGTATAGTGCTGTTGTATAACCAACCCTTGAATATGGGGAGTCCAGTCCCGGACAGTGTACAAAACAGGTACCAACTAGCTCAACGGGTTTCATCTCTCCTGTCTGAGAAGAATACTGGGGATTCACTGCACTGGTGCAATACACTTGCGAACCTACAAACTTCGAATAGCATCTCAACATTACATTTGCGACCTTAAAAACTTCAATAGTCACCAAACTTTATATTTGCGAACCTATCCGATATCGGGATAAATATCGGATTTTGCTCAAATATGCTGGCACTGCTCGATTACAAATATACCCCCTCCCCCCGGTCACGCAAACCCCCAAACAGTCCAAACATTCCTAAGGGAGCCCTATACCAGTACGACACAATCATTCTCTAGAGGGCGAAGAAAACCTAATTTAGACGGGCGGTGCAGTTGGTACAAATGTCAAACTTACGGCTCCAGAAAGTTATCTTCTAGTCAGTATTAAAATTTGTATACAGGAGGAAGAGCATTGGTACGAAAAAGGGTATAAAGACACTCTGAAGACCAGAAATTTTTTTCCCCATTGATGTGTGAGTGGGAATCTCTATCTTGACCGATCACTGAGGCGTAAAGCTGTGCAAAGTGGCAGCAAGCCTTTAGAGAAAAATATTATTTAGGACAACAGGGAAAGCCATAACAAAAGAAGAAAGAAAATCAAGACAGTTAAATCTTGACATTCACACTGGCCCAACCAGAAGACCGCCATTGCTTTGTTTGGGGAAATTCTTCTTAAAAAAGGTATAGCACTTGGCATGGCGTTTTTATAGGTCACATGCGAATTCATAAGGAGGTTTAACCATCTAACCACATGTTTAGGCAGACCAGCACACCGCTTTTGGAGAGGTCATTATTGCAAGTTACAAGTGCTTGCTATTACATTTTATTTCTTTTAATATTTTCTCCCTTTGCCATGCTAGCTACCAAAAGTCTATAGCTTCTCTCCCTCCTTGGATATATTATTAGGCCAGATGAATTCCTTATTATAACTACCTGTTTTCTTTACGGATTTGATTTTCGTGTAGAATGTGCCTGTTATCAAAAGGAGAGGTACAGGTGGCGGCAGTAACCTACTAAAAGAAGACCCAGCTTGTACGAATCTATGGAGGTTGTAAGCGCGAAAGAGAAGTTTGCGGGAAGATTGCAATATTGTGCAGTGCATTTTTGAAAAGGAACCGATAATACGCGTGATTAGTGGGGAATATTACGTCATGCTATAATGTCTATTTGTGAGGCAGCGTGGTGGAATCAGGATCTCGTCAATTTTTGGGCATGTAGAGTTATTGGTATCATCTTAAAGCTTATTCACTTGTCTTAATTTGGAAGAAAAAAATATACTTTTATCTTGAATACAAGTCGAGATATTTATGAATGAAGGAGGTTGGCTTCACCTGTTTTCAGAGGTAAAATTAGTGTGAAAATGGCCCCCAAAGATTAGTTATTTCCTTAGCTTAAGAGTCCGTGGAAAACTGAAAATTTACATTTTTGTGCCTTTAATCAACGCTTTTCAGAAAACTCCACACAGAAATGAATTCTTTTGAGGGGCATGAAAGGTGTTGAGCCAAAACACAACAATTTGATAAAAATTCACAAATCTGCGGAAAAATGCAACTTTCTTCACTTTGATTATTTTGACGAGAGCCTGATTCCACCACGCTGCCTCACATTTATGTATGCGTGTTATAAATTGTTTGTTTGTACAATTGTGAGTATTTCCTTGTGGAGAAAAGCATATCCTCTATAATAATAGGTTTTCACCGATTGCCTAAATAAACAGATAATATTATATGAAAAGTTGAATTAAGCCAGATTCTGATGTTCATCTCGATTTAGTGATGCGGACTACGCACATGATACGAATCGTAAACTGTTGATCAGGAGCTCTTTGTATAGTTATTGACAGAGTAAGACGGAAACCCTAAAACATGCAAAGTCAACATGGCGCCTTGACTCAGAATAGACATCGATGTAGGCCTAACTTGGAAGCAAGGCCAGCTACAGAGCGTAAAGCTTGGGATCCACAGTTTCAAAATATCATGTTCCATGGCGAGGAACGAGCTCGCGAGACTATGCGTCCGCCGTCTTACCCCTGATGGCATGTAATACGACACTTCTCTCTCTCTCTCTCTCTCTCTCTCTCTCTCTCTCTCTCTCTCTCTCTGTCTCTCTCTCTGTCTCTCTCTCTCTTTCTCTCTTTCTCGCACACACACACACACACACACACACACACACACACACACACACACACACACACACACACACACACACAGAGAGCATACACACACACAGAAAACAGTATTAAATCGCCCGTAAAAACAAGCAGATATATTGCAAAATAAGGAAGAATGAAGGACAGAAACCAGAGGTGATACTTCAGAAAAAATGTCAAGCAAGGACTCAGATGAATGCTGATACTTTAACATATTAATTTATTTTAGGTGCCAGTCCATATGACTGATTGCCACGGCGACCACAGGACCACCCTGGCAACTGTTCCACTTGATGGTCAACTATAATATAGTCTTCTATAATCCATAAATCTGATCTTAATCCAAACAATAACCTGTGGTCAGGTTAAGGTTAAGGATAGGTAGCAAACTCGTTGACCACCAAGTGGAACACATTTTGTTGTAGGGGGTAACCATTAGCGCGATCGCGTCAGGTCGGGTCAGGTCGTTTTCTGGAGGTTTCAGGGCACACTATAACCCCGACGCGATTGTCCCCGACGACCCAGAAGTTAGAGTTGAGAAATTTTTAAACTAAACGGCTTCCAAGGCTCCTTTCCACGTACTCTGTTGCAGGGCTGCGGCAGCCTGGAATCCCATAAACATGGGTTATATAGATAACTTTCTATTATGAAAAAGATCGTTCATAACAAGATACATGTAGTTCACTCGGGCAAAAAGTGTCCGAGGAAGTCCGCGCATTGTTTCAGAAGACTCTGCAGTCTTTGTTTTGAAGCTCTCTTTCGTTTCTCCAGAAGAAGAATAGAAATAGCAAAGTTTGTTGGTTTCGCTTTCATTGTTTTTCACTCAAGTAGGGTAACTCTGTTCGCAAAGTCCGCACCTTTTCGACGCCAAAGGATTTTGAGTGTCAACATGGGCATGTGACTCAACTTTGTTGAGATTGGCTGCAAACCTAGTAGGCCTGAAAACGCGTTTGTTTTGAAGGTCACCGACCGAATCGATCGGTTTGCGCCTCGATTGCCGCTTTGCGCCCTCAATTTGGCTAGCCCCGACTATCAAATCGACCTGACCCGACCCGACCCAACCCGATCGCGCTAGTGGGCACCCCCTATTGGATTGGTCTTGTGACATTGCGGTTGACCTTCATGTGGACTGGAACCTTGTTTTATTTGATCCGAAGGTCATCAACTGACTGTTAGACACTTCAGAAATCAAGCCTATGTAGAAGATGTAGAACCAAGAAAGGAAAGAACTACCATAAATGAGGAAGTCAAGTTTTTGAAAAAAATGAGTTAGCGCCCTGAGCCCCTTCAGATGTCAGGTAAGCATGTCCCACGAATAGCTCTACCTGCAAAACCTGCTAAATAATTTAGTATTTTGTAACGAAAAAGGTATAAGTCCATCAAAACCTGCTAAGTCTTGCATGGAAACTACCAAAACCTGCTAAATCTTATTATTGAATTGGGTGGCGCGATACATTTC